CCCCTCGCCTGCCCCAACCCCAGAGCTTACCTGGTTTGAGCTGGGACCATTTTGCAAAAGAAGTGCTCTGCCACCGAGATACAACCCTTTCCTTTTTCTTTTAAACTGGCTGGGGGAGGCGGAAGCCCCTCTCTCTCTGGGCTGCCGTGGAAATGGGGGCTGGCACTCTTTTGTGGGGACTTGGCCTGGAAGGTCCCTCTGTCCCTTTGGCGCCAGGCTCCCTGCTCAGGGAATGGAAAGGCACAGACTGGGCTCCGTCCAGGACACCTGGCGTCCAGAGTGGGTGCCTGCCAGGAAAGGTCCTTTGGGGTCAGGAGGAACCGTGACTCAGCAGGTGAGACACCGATTTCCTCCTCGCTCCCATCAACAGAGGTGGGGGCCCTGGCCCCAGATCCTTTTCCAGCCAGGATTGCATCTGGGAGGTGTCAGGCTACAGCTGCTCTGCACATTGATTGTAAACTTCCAAGTTTACAATTCTGTGATTCTACAATACCCAGCCTGCTGCTCCTCCCAAAAGAATCCAGAGCAGCCTTACAACATAATTTGAAAAATACAAAAAAAGGAAAAGGAAACACATTTTCTGTGCAGCAATTCTTCTGTCCTCACCTCAGACTACAGACCTGGGTGAACAGGAATGCTTCTATAGAGTCATCGGATTGTAGAGTTGGAAGGGACCCCAAGAGTCATCTAGTCCAACCCCCTGCAATTCAAGGATCTTCACTACAGTATCCAAGGCAGTCCAGTCTCTGCTTAAAAACCTCCAAGGAAGGAGAGTCCACCGCCTTCCGAGGGAGACCTTTCCATTGTTCAACAGCTCTTGCTATCAGAAGGTTCTTCCAGATGTTTACTCAAAATCTCCTTTCTTTCATGCCCAAACGATGGTGACAAACACGCATCACCAAGGGGGGCCCCCAAGGGTCATGTAGTCCAACCCCCTGCAATGCGAAGAATTCGTCATCATGGAGCCTCCAAGAAGGAGAACTTGAGTCTTGTCTCTCTCTCACACACCCCACCCCCACCAGCGGTGGAGGCCGGGAGACACTGTCTTGAAAGGGCTGAGGGTCCCCTGGCCATTCAGGGATTTGCACATGCATCACCAGCACCTCAAATGGGGCCTGGCAGCCCCCAGGCAGGCAGCACAGTGCTTGGGGGTCTGCTGGCACACGGGGTCCCCTCCCTGCCCACCCCCTGCAAGAGCTCAGCAGCGGCCTTTTGCACCAGCTGCAGCTTCCAGGGCAACTTCATCAGAACATGAGAATAGCCTGAGGCTGGATCAGGCCAATGACCCGTCTGCTCCAGGGTCCTGTTCTCACAGCAGCCAACCAGGCGCCGGATTCACAAAGAGCATGTTGCCGTGGTCTCAGCAGGAGGACATTACAGCAGCAGGCCCCAGACTTCCTTGGGCTGCTCCCGGCTTAGTTCCATAAACTCACCCCCTGTGCTGCCTCCCTACCCTATAAAAAGCATTATTCAGAAGTGTGGTTTGCACAAGCTGCTCAGGAAGATAACAACACAGTCAATTTGGAACAGAAATGATTAACTGCACATTTCTTCAAAACCCAGTTAAAGCTAGTTTAATTAAGTCAGCCAAGTGGGTGAACTTGGTTGAGGAATATCACCTTTGGCAAAGCCTGATGGTTCTATACACTCCCAGCCCACTAGGGAATCCCCCAGGCCCCCAGGGGGCTCTGCCACCCACTTTGGGAACCGCTGCATTAAGGCATGGGGTGGGCAGGGCCAAACTGGCTGCACCCAGGAAAGACCATGAGTAGTGTGCCAGTCTCATACCTGGGTGTCAGCACTCCACACCACCCAAGCCAAGCCAACCCTCTGTCATGGCCATCTGTCAGTTGAGATTTGGCATGGCAGATGGTTGGGCTAGATGACCCCTGGGGTCCCTTCCAAGGCTACAGTTCCATGAACCTCCAGCCACAAATTTCAACCAGGGACTCGTTCCTTTGCAGCAGGGGCACAGCCTCTCCCACAACAGGCCATCCCTTGGGTACGAGAACCACCTCCTGGCTCCAGACTCCGTCTGCTGACTCCACTCCAGCCCATCGCTGCCTCTGGGCATTGACTCAAGGCCTGCACAGCCTCCCCTGGTTCAGAGGGAGGAGCAGATACACACTGAGGACAACATGCCCCTCATCCCCAGATGATGGAGCCACCCAAGTTGGCAGCCGGGCAACAGACCACAGAGTTTTAGATGTACATACTCATTGGGTGAGCCCACTGTGATTAGGAGCGGGGGGGGGGAATGTCTCCCCACCCACATTCGTCAAGCCATGCACAACTTCTATTGTGTTGCTTCCTACCAGACTTTTCTCTAAACTCTCTGGATTCCTGCATTACATTCTATGATTCTAACAGCCCACCTTTCTTCATAGGGGAATTGCTCCACCCCCTTGAGCCTTTTGGTTGCATCCTGGATAGCTCACTTGGTAGAGCAGGAGACTCTTAATTCCAAGGTCACAGGTTCAATCCCCAAGTCGGGCAAAAGATTCCTGCATTGCAGGGGGTTGGACTAGATGACCGCCATGCTCCCTTCCAATTCTACAATTCTATGATCCTCATGGACATCCAATGAACCTGAATTTTGGAAGATTCAGGACACCTAAAAGGAGGTGCTTTTTCATGCAGCACATAAACTACGGCACTCCCTCCCACAGGAGGCAGTGATGGCCACCAACTTGGATGACTCTAAAAGATGATTCTACAGATTTATGGGGAGGAAATAAGGCTCTGGCCAGGCTTGGAGGCAGCCATCTTTCTGAGCACCAGTCGCTGGACACCCCAGGAGAGGCGAGTTCTTCTTCTGCTCAGACTCTGCTTGCTGGTTTCCCACAGCAGGCAACTATTCAACCACTGTGAGGTCAGGATGCTGGGGGTCAGGGCAGGGGTCAGGAGCAGGTCAGCAATAACTCACAGTGTCAGCAAAGTTAACCCTTTTTATTCCAAGAGGAGGCCAGGCCTAGTGAGCACAGCAACTCTTCCCCCAATGAGGTGGTCTCCTCCTCCCCGAGTCCTTCCCAAGCAACTGGAAACTTTTTCACCCTGTCTGTCTCTGCTCCACCCTCTTCATACCTCTTCTGGCTCTGGGAGACCAGCAGGGGAGGGGAGGGGAGGTGGTTGCAGCAGCAGGAGGAGGAGACACTCTGGCTTCTTCAGCAGCCTTCCTCCTCTCCAGCCTCTGCTTCAGCCTCAGAATCTGAGCTGCTCTCTGCTCCAGCCTCTTCCTGCTCGCTGAACCCTGTTGCCTCTCCAGCAGTTGACACCTCTTCCTCCCAGGCTGCCCTTCTTCTCCCTCTGACCTCTCATCCTTGTCCCGCCACCAGTCCTCTAGTTCTGCGCTTTCTTCCCCTGGGGGCTCCCCAGCTGGTGCCTCTGGCCAGATGACCCTGGGCTGATTCAGGAGGGCTCTTCTTATGTTTATCATTTCTGCGAAAGGGCTCTGGAGAGCAGCTGCCCCTCCCCCCTGGCCACATCTGCTTTGCGCCATGAGAGACCATCCCCAAGGGTGGGAGGTGGGGGGGGCTGGCTCCCCTCCTTCCTGGACCAAACTCTGTCCAGCTGTTGGGTGTGCCTGTGTGAGAGAGAGCAGGGATGGAGGCAGCCAGCTCCTAGGAAGGCGCCAGAGAGGTTGCGAAAGAGCCTGCAAGGGAAGGGAGCCAGAGTCCCACCTCTGGAGGTGCTGGGGGAGAGAGAGATGAGCCCTGCACATTGGGGGGGGGGTGAGTGAGTGGGGGGGGTGTTGAGGCAGAGCAAGCAGGCCATCTCCACAGCTGACAGCCAGCCTTTCCTTGCCGGGTATAATTTGCTGCCAAAGGTGGTTGTTTGGGGGGTGATGTTTGTTTGTGCAAGAGAGGGGGGAGGGGAGAGGGGTGGGGGTAAAGGAGAGGTCTGGGACAGGCAATGGGTGGGGGTGGCCTTGCCTCTTGAGCTCAGGCCCAGCTGCCTGAGGGGGGGGGCAAGAGGGTGCCCCCTCCAGACTGAGATGGAGTCAGACCCCTGGGGTTCCTCCCACTTGCCCTGACTGGCAACAGCAGCTCCTGGGGGTTTATGAGGCCGCAGGGGAGGGTGCTGCTCTTGCACCCAGGTCCTGCCTCTGGACCCCCCACTGAGGCACCTGGGTGGCAGCTGGACTCAAGGGGCCACGGCCATGATGCAGCTGCAGGCTCTTCTGACTTGCTGTGTAAACCCTGACATGAGATGCGGGGGGGGGGGTGTTGGACTTGAGGCCTCCTGTTGCAAGGCGGAAGCTCAGCCTCTTCCCTCCGAGTGGGTCTCCCTCTGTGTGTCCCTCCCCAGAGCAGGCCCTATAGAGGGGAAAGAAGGACAGTTGCAGGATCGTAGTGTTGGAAGGGGTACCCAAGGGTCCTCTAGTCTGACCCCTCCGCCATGCAGGAATCTTCTGCCTCTGGGTGGGGACACTTTTGCCCCTCACCTTGCAGGCCATGGAGCCTCCAAACATTTAGGGCCCAAAGAGCAGCTGATCGAATCATAGAAGGGACCCCGAGGGTCACCTGCCCAACCCCCCGCAATCCAGGAATCTTTTGGTCCCACGTGGGGTTGGAACCCATGACCATGAGATTAAAAATCCTAAAATATCCGGGGGGGGTCAGGGAGGGGGCGTCTGGGTTGCTGAAGGTGGAGGAGGAGGCACTGAGCCGGGAAGAAAGCGAACCCACGCACCGCAGCATTCAGCCCCGAAATCCAGCAAGAGAGAGAGAGACCCCAGAGCATGTGCAGAGTGCGCTTCCTGCCCCCTGAGGACCCGCAGGAGACTGGCTCTGGGAGCAGCGTGCCCAAGGAAGGGGAGAGACGGCGGCGGCGTTTTCGAAGCGGCGGGGGAGAATCGTGCGCAGCTCCGTCTCCCCCCGCCATTCGGCCGCCGGCCGGGGAGAGGGGCCGGAGAGGGGCTGGGGCGGCGCAGACAAAAGACGGCCGGCGGGGCGGCGGCGGGGGAGGGGAGAGAAAAGTTGGGAAGGCAGAAGGGGGCGGAGAGAAGGAGGGAAGGAAAAAGTTCGGGAGGAGAAAGAGGAGAAGGACAACGCAGGGAGGGAAGGAGAGAGGTGGCGGAGCTCCGCCAAGCCAGTCTGCCCCCCACCCTCGGAACGAGGGGTTCCCCCGAAGAGGCTCGGATCGGGCTCTCTTCTCCCCAGCCCCCCAGGATGGAATTGAGGCGCCCGGGCAGCCGCGGGGGGCGGCTCTGAGCGACACCCCCAAACGCACACTGCCCTTCCCAGGTGAGGCGGGGGCAGCTGCGCTTCGGGAGGGGGTGGATGGGTCTGATTCATTGCAGGGGAGGGCAAGGCGGAGGAAGGAGGGAGCCCCCCCCGCGCATCTCCGGTGGTTGGAACTCCCCTCCCGGCTGGTTGCCCTCCCCGCAAAATGCATTTTCAGCTAGTCTGCATGGACAGATGATCCCCGCACCGGAAAAAAAATGTCCGGGGCAGCAGAAGCGAAGCCGGAGCTGGGGGGGGCTGGGGGGCTGGTGAGCAGAGCCAACTTCCGCAGCTGGGTCCAGACCCAGGGGCGGGGGCAGTTTAAAGCGCAGAGAGGGAGAAGGCGCTCTGCACGTGCCCAGAAGCCGCTGTGTTTCGCCTTCTTCCGGAGGGTAGCCTCGGCTCGGAGTTACTGGTGGAAGCGGGAGGGCGGGGCGCCAGGCCCCCGGGCAGGGCGTGTGTCCCCGGGACAGCTGGCCGGCAGCTGCTCCGCTGCGGGTGCCAAGGGAGCCACGTGGGGGAAGCCGGCCCTCGCCCCCGGGGCGCTCCGAGAGGGGTTGCGGGAGGAGAGGGCGGACGCACGGCGAGGAGGCGACAGCGCAGTCACACAACTGTGGCACTGGGCGGGACCCCCGAGGGTCTTCTCCGGCAGCACAGGAGTCACCGCTAAGGCATCCCTGAAGGCGAGCCAAAAACCTCCCGAGAAGGCGAGTCCGCAACCTCCCGAGGGATCTTACCGTCGGATGTTGAGTCGGAATCTCCTTTCTTGTCGTTTGAATCCGTTGGTTTGGGTCCTCCCCTCCGGAGCAGGAGAAAAACAAGCTTGCTGCCTCTTCCATGTGTGGCAGCCCTTGGGATATTTAAAGATGGCTATCTCGTATCTCCTCTCAGTCTCCTCTTCTCCAGGCTAAACATCCCCAACTCCCTCAAGCCTTCCTCACTCTGCTCGGTTTCTAGATCTCCTGGACATTTTATCAGTCTCCCCACAAGCAGACCCTCCTTTACCTCACTGGAGACCGGGGCAGGGGGCAGACAATTGCTCCAGACAGGGCTGGTTTGGGGAGCCCTGGAAGGACTGAAGACATTCAGAAGAACCTCAGAAGAGCCTTTCAGGAAACCTGCAAGCAGGATCTGGGCCAAACCATCCTGGCTATTAGCCCTCCATAGCCCTCTCTTGCAAAGCCAGACAGGTCGTGGCTATTGTTTCCTCCTGCAGGAGGGAGTTCCCCAGTTTAACTAAGAAGGGTTTTCTCTTGTCTGCCCTGAATCTTCCCACATGGGGCTTCGCTGGCCGCCCACCAGGGAGGAAACTGCTTCTCTGCCCATTCTTTCCATGCCAGGGCCCTCAAAGACACTCCTGGAACTGCCTCTCTCAGGTGCCACAAGGACCAAGGAGCAGCCTTGGGAGGGGAGGGTGGAGGATGCGACCCCCTCCCACTTTCCTTGCAGCAGCAGGGCCCATTGGGCTGTCCCAGTCCCGACCCACAGAGGCCCCTTCCTCCCCTGGTGCCACCTAAGCCTCCTCCGCAGGGCTGCTGCCATCTGCCAGGCTGCTCCAGGCCTTCTAATCCTCCTAGTCCTTAATGAGGAGTGGCAGGCGGAAGGCAAAGGGCAAGCGCCAAAGAGGAGGCAGCAGCAGCAGCAATGGGGTGGCTGAGGGGCTGGGAGGCTCTCCCAGGCGTCCTTCTCCAGGGACATGGAGCCCCTGACCCAGTGGAGCCTCTCCTGCCCAGTGGAATGCCAGCCTACCCATCTACCTGGTTTGTCTGGGGCTGGGAGGTTTGTTCTTTTGAGGGAGGGGGCTTCCTTCCTGCCGCAAGCACAGCCTGGCTGCTTCCTCATCCTTCCAGACACCGCAGCAGCAGCAGCAGCTGGGTTGGGCCGAGATGTGTGCAGAGTGGGAGGGAAGGCCAGGTGTGGGGCGGGGAGGGCCAGGACCAGTGTTGGCACTGGCCAGGTGTTGCTCCTGCACACCCCAGAGATGGCTGCCTCTTCTGTGCTGGGCTCCAGGATGCACTGTGGGGAGTGTGACACGGGTGTGGGGTGAGGAAGGCCAGAAGCAGCTCTGGGGAGGAGCCCCATGACCATCCTCTGACTGCCCCCCACAGGCCAGGCACCTCCAGGAACTGAGCGCAGAATCTGCCTCTTGCTTCCTGGGTGGTCCTCAGGCGAGCTCTCCCGGTGGGTGAGGCCGAGCAGAGGTCGCTGCCCATGCCTGGGAGGGATGGAGCAAGCTTCTTTTCCACTGCTCTGAACCAATGGATTTGTAGCATGATAGAGTTGGGAGGGATCCTGAGGGTCATCTAGTCCAACCCTCTGCACTGCAGGATTCAGATGACAAGGAAGGAAGGGACAAATGGCAGAGGAACAAGCTCCCTCAGAAGGTGGTGGACTCTCCTTCCTTGGTTTTTTTTTTAAAGCAGAGACCACCTGCTTGAGCTGAGATTCCTGCATTGCAGAGGGCTGGACTGGATGACCCCCAGGGGTCCCTTTCAGCTCTCCAGTTCTATGAACTTGAGACAAATGAGGGGCATGATTTGAGGGTCTGTTTTCTTCCATTTACAAACCTCCTCCTCCCCTCCAGGGTTGTGGCGTCCTGGCCTGCCCCTCTCTCGCCCTGCCCCCCAGAGGCCAGAGGACCATGAGGGTCCTCTATGGGCACTGCTGCCGCTTCCAGGTGCTGTGGGCCGCCCTGGCTGTCTCCATGACCATCGGCTTCACCATCCAGCTCTTCGGGGTCTCCTTTCAGAAGAGGTAACTGTTCCACCTTCCTGGCCTTCAGGACCACCCAATGCTCAGCAGTGCCCCCGGTGGCCACTCAAGGCAATGCCATAGAATCCTAGAATTGGAAAGTCAGGCGAGAGACCCAGAGGTCATCCAGCCCAACCCCCTGTGACACTGAGGCTGGCCAGTGAGGGCTTCTCTGATCTCCTCTTCCTCCTCCAGGGCTTCCTTGTCCCAGCTGCCTCCGACCCCCTGGGCTCCCCCTCTGCCCAAAGCGGAGCAGGAGGAGGCGGAGGGGCGGCCAGGACACCGCTGCCAGCCGAGACGCCACCTGGTCTTCCTGAAGAGCCACAAGACGGGCAGCAGCACCATCATCAACCTCCTGCACCGCTTCGGGGATGCCCGGGGTCTGCGCTTTGCCCTCCCCGCCCGCTACCAGTTCAGCTACCCTAACCTCTTCCAGGCACGGCGGGTCAAAGGGTGGCATCCCAGAGGGCGCCCCTTCGACATCCTCTGCCACCACATGCGCTTCAACTTGCCAGAGGTGAGACTAGGTGGGGCTCCAAGAGTGGGGCTGGGGGGGCATGTGGGGGCATGTGGAACACTCTGTCACAAGAGGCTAGGGCCCTGCGGGACTTGACATCTTTCCACAGGGCCTGCAAGATGGAGCTGTTCCCCCAGGCCTTTGGCCAAGGCACCGTCTGACCCCCTCTCTCCTTCTGTAATCCTCATAGAACTCTAGCCCAATGGTTAACATTAATTTGATTCTGAATTGATTTTGGAATGTATTTTAATTAATTGACTGTGTGGTTTTATGTACACTGTGCTATTTTTACTTATTGTTAGCTGCTCTGAGCCCAGCTTTGGCCAAGGAGGGCGGGATACAAATAACATTTGATGATGATGATGTGGAGGCTGGTGTCTGAACCAGTGCCTCTGTAATGCACCCTCTCAAACTTGTGGGCATCTAAGGAGAGTGAATGTTGGGAGATTCGGGGCAGATGAAAGGCAAGTCCTTCTTTGTTAAACTGTGGAACTCCCTCCCACAGGAGGCAGCAGTGACCACCAATTTGGGCAGCTTTAAAGGAGGATCAGACACACCCATTGGGGAGGAGAAGGGCTATTGATGGCTACTAGTCAGTCGGAGTTGAGGCTCCAAGACTTTGGCCACCTCCTGAGAAGAGAAGACTCCCTGGAAAAGACCCTGATGTTAGGAAAGATGGAGGGCAGAAGGAGAAGGGGACGACGGAGGATGAGATGGTGGGACAGTGTTCTCGAAGCTACCAGCATGAGTTTGACCAAACTGTGTGAGGCAGTGGAAGACAGGAGGGCCTGGCGTGCTCTGGTCCAGGGGGTCATGAAGAGGCGGACACCACTAAACGACTCAACAACAACAACAACAGTCCTGCTTCTGAATCCCACTCTTCTGCTCAGACCCGGCTTGCAACTTTCCCATAATGGGCACCTGGTTGGCCACTGCGAGAAAAGGAGGCTGGACTAGATGGGCCTCCATGGGCCTGATCCAGCTGGATCCCCCAGGGCCAGATAGGCCAACCCCTGCAAGGCAGGATCCCCCAGAAAACTGGTGTCTATCCATGAGTAGGTGCAGGCGAAGAGGGTTCCCAGCCTTAGCCCCGTGCAAGAGTGGAAACTTGGGTTTCAGATTTGGGGGACTGAATGAGGAATGGCTTGACATCCACCTAGAAGTGGGCTGTTCCAATGGCAGTTTTAAAAGTCTTTCAGACCCTGTGATGCAGCAGCCAAAGAAATAAAGGCGTTTCTAGGCTGCCTCACCAGAAGTCGAGCGTCCAAGGGAGTCCATTGCACTGTTGAATGGCTCTTCCTGTTCAGCTCCCTCTACCATTCCTCATAGGGGTTGGTTCCCAGACTCTTCGTCATCTTGGTCACCCTCCTCTGCACACCTTCCAGCTTGTCAACATCCTTCTTAAATTGCGGTGCCCAGAATTGGACACAGTATTCCACGCATGGTCTCACCAAGGCAGAATACAGGCAGGCAGAATGACTTCCCTTGATCAGGACACTAGACTTCTGCTGGTACAGCATTGGTTTATTTCTTTTCTAGATCCTTTTCACATACACAGTCATACCTTGGAAGTACGAACAGAATCCTTTCCAGAAGTCTGTTCTACTTCCAAAACATTCAGAAACCAAGCACAGCTTCCGATGGGCTGCAGGAAGCTCCCCCATCAGACATTCAGGTTCCAAAGAATGTTTGCAAACCAGAACACTCACTTCCGGGTTTGCAGCATTCGTGAGCAAAAACGTTCAACTTACAAGGCGTTCGGGATCCATGTGTTAGTTTCTGTTTGCCACTGAGCAGCTGCTTAGAGGCACAGGACTCTGTTTACCGTATTTTTCGTCCCATAGGACGCTCCGACCCATAGGACGCACCTAGTTTTTTTGGGGGGGGGGGGAAATAAAGGAAAAAATTTTTTCCTTTATTTCCCCCCCAAAACCAGGTCGGGGAACAGCGGGATGGCGGCTCCCCAGGCTGCGGATGTCTGCCCGCCGCGAGGGGCACTCTGCTTCAGGGTGTTCCACGCGCCGGGCGGCAGGCTGCTATCCGCAGCCTAGGGAGCCCTGCAGGAACTCCCGCGGGCTCCGCAGGCTTGCTGATAGCTTCCTGAAGCCTGGAGAGCGAGAGGGGTCGGTGCGCACCGACCCCTCTCGCTCTCCAAGCTTCAGCGAAAGCCTGTATTCACCCCATAGGACGCACACAGATTTCCCCTTCATTTTTGGAGGGGGAAAAGTGCGTCCTATAGGGTGAAAAATACGGTACACTCCAGAGACCTTCCAGACTGTTGGAAGTCTCACGGGAGAAGGGAGACGGATGTGACGTACTGGTTTCTCTGTTCCTTTGTTCCTTTGTTTCAGTTGCTCTCATAGAGAGAGGATGTATATTTCTTTGCTGTCTGCGTAGTAAGAAATAAAGCATAGCGATGTAGCCATAAATCTCCTCCCTTCCGCGTGCTGCTTTGATTCTCTGCTGAACGGGGGATGTGCCTGGAAGCCTCATCAAAGGCTCAGGTCGTTAATTATTCGTCGGAGGGCGATTCCGAAGGACTCAGCCAGAAGATGAGCGTTATCAGCTCGGCCGAGTGGAGATTCCGACACCAAGGTACAACTGTAGTGGTACCTCAGTTTAAGAACAGTCCAGTTTAAGAATAATTTGGTTTACAAACTCTGCAAAACTGGAAATAGTGTATTGGTTTGAGAACTTTACCTCTGTCTAAGAATGGAATCTGGATGGTGGAAGGGCACCGGCGGCGGGAGGCCTCATTAGAGAAAGAACACCTCGGTTTAAGAATTGTTTTGGTTTAAGAATGGACTTCCAGAACGAATTAAGTTCGTAAACCGAGGTACCACTATATTGGCAAATGCAGCTTGGTTTTCTACCCAGGTGCAAAACTGGACATGTCATAGACTCATAGAACTGCAGACATGTGTCTCTGAGCAAGCGCCGAGAGCCTGTCCGTTGCCAAAGGGCAAATTGGGCCTCAGACACACATGAGGCTGGGGGATATGGAGGACCAGACTCTGCCCCACATACTCCCTCCAACATGTCTCCTTCTCCTTCCTCAGGTCCAGAAAGTCATGCCCCCGGACAGCTTCTACTTCTCCATCGTGAGGCACCCCGTCTCCCTGGCCGAGTCGGCTTTCTCCTACTACCGGAGCGTTGTCCCTGCCTTCCGCCGCGCCGGCACCTTGCCCCAGTTCCTGGCCTCGCCACAGCGCTTCTACCGCCCCAGCGAGAGGGGCAACCACTACGCCCGCAACCTGCTGTGGTTCGACTTTGGCCTGGACCCACCAGCAGCCCCTGGCCTGGCCCCAATCCAGGCTGCCCTGGCCACGCTGGAGCGCACCTTCCACCTGGTCCTGCTGACGGAGCACATGGACGAGTCGCTGGTGCTCCTGCGCGATGCCCTCTGCTGGGGAGAGGAGGACATCCTGGCCTTCCGCCACAACTTCCGCAGCCCTGAGTCCGTCCGCCCACTGGCGCCCGTGGAGGCTGCCCGACTCCAGGCCTGGAACAACCTGGACTGGCACCTCTACACTCACTTTAACCGCAGCTTCTGGGAGCGTGCAGAGCGCTTTGGCCGTGCACGCCTGGCCCGGGAGGTGGGTGCCCTGCGGCAGCGGCGAGCAGAGCGGATGCAGCAGTGCCTGCAGGGAGGGGGCCCTCTGGAGGCGGGGCAGATTGCGGACGAGCGCATCCGTCCCTTCCAGTTTGGGCAGGCCCCCATCCTGGGCTATGTCCTGAGGCCCAGCCTGGACCCCGAATGGCAGGCGCTGTGCCAGCGCATGGTGACTCCCGAGCTCCAGTACAAGGACCTTCTGGATGCCAAACAGTTTCCTCCGCCCCCCCAGGGCAACGGCTCTCAAGCCGGCGGGGTGAGGTAGCAGTGGCAAGCGGAAGGGGGTGCAAAAAGGCCAACTGGCCCCCAACAGGCTTGGCATGGGCTGGGTGCTGAAGGCACAGAGGACCTGAGGTGCCATGAAAAATCTCATTCTGCCCACATTTCTGGGATTCCCAGAAGAAGCTCCCTCTGGATGCTGGGAGATTCAGGTGGAAGGAAGGGCTTCTTTGTAGAACTATAGTGTTGGAAGGGACCCTAAGGGTCATCCAGTCCAACCCTGGCAATTCAGGAATCACCACTAAAGCATCCGTGGCAGATGACCCTCCGACCTCTACGCAGAAACCGCCAAAGGAGAGGAGGGACTTTATGCAGCCCATCAATGGCAAAAAATAAAATAAATAAAATAAAATAATTCCTTCCAGTAGCACCTTAGAGACCAACTAAGTTAGTTATTGGTATGAGCTTTCGTGTGCATGCCCACTTCTTCAGATACGAAAGCTCATACCAATAACTAACTGAGTTGGTCTCTAAGGTGCTACTGGAAGGAATTGTTTTATTATTTTATTTTGTTTTGTTTCGACTACGGCAGACCAACACGGCTCCCTACCTGTAACTACATCAGTGGCATAGCATGGGTTGCCAGCGCCCAGGGCAAGGCAAGTATTTTGCACCTGGGGCAGTTGCCCCGGTAGTACCCCCACATGCTATGCCACTACAGCCCATAGTTCAATGTGGCCACTGCTGGGTCATCAGCTTCAAGAGGCCTTCCTGTCAGTGAGGACGGAATGAAAAGTGGACCCGACAATGTCTTTTCAGGCACAACTCAAGAGCAGCCGCTGGATCCTGCCGTGTGACTCAGCTCGGCATCCTCAGCCAGGCCTGACTTTGCACAAGGAGGTGGGGTCCTGCATCGGTGGGGGGGGGGACCCCACACCTCTTGACCTGGGACTCAGCCACAGTGGGCCTGAGTGACTCTTTGCAGGGGCAGCCAGCTGACATGGGAGCCTCAAAGTCCCAGGTTCATTTTGTTGCTTTGGCCGCAGACTCATGATGGGGAAGGAGATGGGGTCTCTCTCTCCCCCTCCCCATCCACAATCTGCAATGGAAGACTAATGGTACTGCCCCACCCACCTTGTAGGGCTGTTGTGTGGAGCACTGAAGCAACTCACGTGAAGGGCTTTAAACACTTGTGGGGTGTGTGGACGGAAGCAGCTTAAATTGGTGCTGGTTAGAGGGCAGAGCCAGGCATGCTCTGGCCCTGAGGGGGGGCTCTTTGGCTGGGGGCTGAGGCTGGTCCTGCAGGTGGGGTGGGGGGAGGGCATGTGTTTCCTGGGAGCCAGAAGTGTTCATGGGCCCCAGCATGCCCCAAGGGGCTGGTGACAGGTGCCCACCTGGTCCTATATGCCAAGGCAGGAGGGCCAACTTGGCCCTATGACCATGGGTTTGCAGGGCCCTGGCACCAAAATTGGTGGGTGCCCAGCCCCTTTGTGGGGAATTTTGTGGGTGCTTGGGCACCCAGGCCTCAGGGAGTCCCAAGACATCTTTTGGAGGCGAGAGGCTGCACATCAGCAGGTATTCTTTTGGCCTTTTAGGCTCCAGCTGCCATCAGCCCCAGCCTTCATCCAGGCAGTGACCTCAAGACACGTTGGACTACAGCTCCCATGATGGGAGTTATAGTTCAAAATGTCTGGAAGGCACCACATTGGCCAAGGCTGCTCCCTTCTCTCCATAGCCAAGGAGGCCACGTACAAAGAGCTGCTAGCTGGGCTGGAGGGAGAGGGAGACCCCCAACCCAACCTCCCCTCCTCCACCCAAGCCACCATTGATCAGTTTCGATTGGGGACTGTGGAGCTTCTTCCCACCAGCGGTGGGCGCTGTTGGGCTCTTCCTCCCAGCACTTATGACACGGCTGGATCCACAGATCCCACCACAAGGCAGTTTAGGGCTTGGTGTTTGTTTTTCTTTTTCAAGGATGTTACTCTTAACCATTTGTTTTTAAAGGGGGAAATCCTTTTTTGTTTCTTTTTGGTCCTTTTTCAATAGATTGAAATGCTATTGGCCGCTTGGTGTGCTCCACGTTTAATCTTCTTTCCGTCCTTCCTGCCTGCATTTCTGGAGTTGCTCAGCAGTGACCTGGAGTTTGTTTGTTTATTATTACTTACTGCATCTGTCTTCCTAGAATCAGAGTTGGAAGGGACCCCAAGGGTCATCTAGCCCCACCCTTTGCGATGCAGGAATCTCATCTCAGGCACCCCTGACAGGTGGCCACTCCAAGGAGCCCAAGGGGGTGGATGTACAACCCCCCTGTGAGGGAGGCTGAAAGGAAGGGACACCCAGGGAGCATCAGGGCTAGGCTTGCCCATTCCTCACAGGTCCTGGTTTCCGGGTGCAAAAATGGTGTCAGGGGGGAGTTTTGCTGAATTGGCAAAATGTCAGGGCAAACACAGGTGTGTGGCAACGTGATGGTAAAAGCAGCAGAAGCTCCAAAAGTTAAATCCAGACAAATGGGTCAATGGGATGCGGTGCTCATCTCACTTCAGGCCGAGGGACGAGGCTGGCACTGGTCTAAACCACTGCGTCTCTTCGGCTTGCCCATCAGAAGGTCCAGAAAGTCTGCAGTTCGAATCCACATGACGGGGTGAGCTCCCATTGCTTTGTCCCAGCAGCTCATGCACTGTATATATTGCACCAGGAGCGCACCTGCGCCGGGTCCTTGAGATGCCCGACTGGGCCCCAGCTGCACTTGCCTCAGTTGCCTCAGACACGTCAGCCGGCCCAAGTTGCTGCAGCCAGACTGCTGACCAGGGCTGGTTACTGGGTTGCCACAGTCCCAATGGCCACCGGTCTACAGATTTTCCAGGCACAAGTCAAAGTGCTGCTTTTGACCTAAATAGCCCTACACAGCTGAGGAGCAGCCTGTCTCAAAGACCCTATTCCCCATGGGAACCTGCCCTGGTTTTGAGATCTTCCAGGAAGACCCTTTTCCTGCTCCTGCCACCCTCAAGGCACCCTTGGTGGGGACTTGGCAGGTGGCTTTGTCATGGTGGCTGCTGCCAGACAACTTTGGAACTCCCTCCCTAGAGAAGCCAGACTGGCTCCCTCCTTGTCCTTCTGCTGGCAGGTGAAGACCTTCTTCCAACAGGCTTTGGAGAAATGGCTGCTTTTAATGAAACAGCTGGTGCTATGCAGTTCTCATTGAGATTGTATGTTGTTAATAAACGTGTGTGTGTGTGTGTGTGTGTGTGTGTGGTACAGACATGCACAGACACGCACATGAAAAGGCGGGGCATAAACATTTTATCCTTTAGCTTTATTTTATCCTCATCATAAGGGATAAGTTTATTCTGATTTTAGAAGACATCCGCAGAAGCCCTTTGACCTCTAATTGAGGATGACAAAGTGTCCATTCCTTGGACTTTTTGTGGCTGCTCCGCACACTCATATATTTTCGTTCCCTCACAAGTGAATGTGCATCTATGAATCTGTAAGCAACCCTAGAAAGATGCAGAACAGCTCAGGTCATGAGAGCAGCAGCGCTTGAATGTAGGAGAGATGCAGTTTCCCTGCAAAGGCCTGGGACTATCCAAAAGGTCTTTGGTGGGTCCTGGAAAGGTGCCCGGTGGAGCACCCTGGGAAGAGCATCCCACAATTTGGCTGGGGGCCACCCCCAGAATGCCAACCCCACATGAGTGAGGGCTGGATAGGGGCACCTGAGGAAGCCCCATTGGACTAGGGCAATAGGAGAAGAGCCCTACAACACCTGGATGCGACCACCAGGATGCTTTGAATCAGGCATCCTGTGACCAGGCAGAGGGAAGCCCACCAGCAGGCCATGAGTGCGAAAGCTGCCTCCAGGCAGGTGTCTTGCCAGCTCAAGTCAGGAAGAGCCTCTAGGCTCACTATTGCACCCCCAGGATCTCTGCCTCTGAAAGTTGCCGCTCTGGGACCCCCTGCAACGCCCCGCTCAAATCCTGGAGTTTTTATGCGGCAAATATTCTGGCATTCTGCCCCACCCCCCACCCCGCAGATGACCCTCCAGGGGGCAGAAGGGGTCCACGAAGCGGAAGGAGGCATGGACCGCCCGCTAGGAATCCACCGCGAATGCGAGATCGCCTTTATTGCCTTTATTGCCGTTGTTTTGACCTTCACGATCATATCACCCGTAGAGGAACGCAATTATTAATACCTGCGTGGATGCGACGATGAGGCCAAATGCGCCTCTCCATTAAAATGCACCAGAAGAATACAGGAATGAGCTACGGTCGCCAAAAAGGGGGTGTTGCAGCAGAGACACCCGGGAAACCAGTCCCACCCGGGCCGCGCTCGCCCTCCCGCCTCCGGGGAGTCCCTGGCACCTGCTCAGAGACTCCAGCCCCGAGGCCGAGGGTCCCCGGAGGGAGCAGCATTGCCGTGGGGGAGGGGCCGACAGAGCCAACGAGGAGGAGGAGGAGGGGAGCGCATCCCCTCTCCCCCCTCCCTCCTCCTCCTTCCTCTTTCTTTCATTCTCTCCCTTCCTCCTTCCTTCTTTCCTGGCTCGCTCCGCCCCGCCGCGCCGCACAGCCCGGCCTGGACCGGCCTCCCCCCGCCCTCCCACGCCGCACCGGCGCCTCCCTCCCTCTCCCTTCTTGATCTTTGCCCCCCCCCCGCGCGCGCCGCCGAGAATCTGCCCCCCTTTCGCCATCTCTGCTCCGCATCTCTTCCACCTCCCTCGGAGGCAGATCCCCCCGCCCCTCCGTGCGTAACCCCCCTCCCTTCCTTCTCTCCCTCCCCCTCCCTCTTCCTTGCTGATCTCTCCCCCCCCCCGCCGCCGCCGGGAATCCGCCCTCCCTCCCCGCATCTGTGGGGCTCCCTCTCCTCCGCCCCCCTCGGATGTGGACACCCCCCCCCCGCACCTGCTATGGAGTCCCAGTGCGACTACTTCATGTATTTCCCGGCCGTGCCCTTCCCGGCGCGGGAGGTGCTGCTGGGCGAGCCCGGGCGCTACCGGGCGCTGCCGCGGCGCAACCACCTTTACCTGGGCGAGACGGTCCGCTTCCTGCTGGTGCTTCGCTGCCGGCCGGGGGGCGCCGGTGGGGAGGGTGGCGGGAGGGCGCCCTGGGGGGAGCTGGCCGGGTCCCTCTCTGCCCTGGCCAGCGTTAGCCCCGGGGCCAGCCTGGGCGGCGAGGCGACGCTGGGCGGAGAGCCCGAGGCGACCCGCGAAGACGACGAGGACACGGCCCCCGGGAGCCTCTTCCGCGACTGCCGGGCGCTGCTGACCCACGGCCAGGGGACCCCCGGGAGACCCGCCGCAGGAGTAAGGCCCGGAGCGGACGCGGGTGGCGGGGCGGTGAGGCGGAGTGCCTTGCGGGAGGGAGGAATCTGGATCCGGCCCGCTGACGCTTCCCTCCCGGCCCGCGCAGGTGCCAATGGAAGAGCCCATCGTGTCCACGGACGAGGTCATCTTCCCCCTGACCATCTGCCTGGACAAGCTGCCCCCCACCACCGTCAAGGCCAAGGTGAGACCCGGGCGGGTACGGTGGGGCGGGGAAAGGAGAGGAGGAGGCGCACCTGGGTGGACACCCCACTCCCACCCACTAAACACCCACGGGTCGTTTTTGCGCCCCCAGATCGTGGTGACGGTTTGGAAGCGGGACCAGGAGAAGGCGGAGGTGCGGGAGCGCGGCTACCTCAGCATCCTGCAGGATCGGGCCCCCTCGCAGACATTCCGGGAAGAGCAGGGGGCTTTCAAGGCGCAAGGTGAGCGCTCAAGACCCCAGCGTGGGGGTCTCCTCCAACACCCCCTCTCTCCACCTGCCTTCCAAAAAATTCCTCTTAGGTGCATGGGGCAGGTGTCACCCTCTGACCTTTGTTTTTTTTTTTTTTATAATAATTTTTATTGGGTTTTCACATTTATATAGACAAAAACAAAACAGATAACACCAAAACAAACATAAAAAACAACAACAAACATAAATAGTTCCAAAAAATCTTATTTTCTAACCCTAGTCCTTGACTTCCCCCCACCCCTCCCTTGCATCCCTGTTCCCAAGTTTATGTCAGCAAGTTAGCATTTCTTCCTTCTTAATATTAGTCCTTTTATAGAAACAAAAAATAAGTTTTCCCTAAGTTGGACCCCAATTCTCTTCCCTCGATTTCTCATTTTTTCTTGAGTAATTTCCTTATTACTAAACCCCTGGTCTTGAGTGTTATTTAAGTTTATGCTTCCCTCCCTCCCATCCCCGCTTTGCGTCCTTTCCCAAGACATGTCCAAAATAACAGTTTTTAGCCTGGATTCCGCACATCCGAGGCTCTCAAATCTATTTCAGTCCCTCTCCGCCGGTTTTGTTGGTAGTCCTCTTTGTCAGTCATCGAGTCTCGAAAGATTTCATTAACATTCAATCCAATCAGTCCATAGTCTCTTCCCATATTTATAAGCAACTGCTGAGGAATTTCCACAAGGCCTGAGTCTTGGTGATGGTCAAAATCAAAGTCTATGTGGAGGCCCCAATTGTACTTCTTTATTTCGAGTTCCTGAGTTCCATAAACTCCCAGGGCCTCCACTTTCATCTTCTGTATCTTTCGTAGACTTGGAATAGATTCCATCCAATGGTCTCCTTGTTTGTATTCTCCAAATATCGGCTTCTGGTTAGTATTTTCCCACATAACTTGTTCTCTTTCTTGTTTTGTCTTCTCCTCTTCTTTGTTTATTATTTCAAATTCAGCTGTGGGTTCTTTCTCATTCAAGTCCTCATTACATTCAGCAGAGCTACTTGTTTCCAAATCCAAGGCCGTCAATTGTTTACTCATAGCTGTAGTCTGCTCCTGTAAGGTTCCCACCAGTGAAAACATCCTTTCGATTTCTCTCAGTATCTTTCCACCCACAGCCATTGTAATTCCACAGAATTCCCCCTAGAGGGAATCTGGTTACTGGATGGTCTTTTCTCCAACAATCCTCTGTCCTATTATTGTTTCTTTGTTTCCCAAAATTTTAGTTCAATTGTAACTCCTTTTTATCCGGAGAGGTCTTAAGTAGCAATTTTTTCAGTATTAACAGTCCATTTGACAGCTTTGACAGCTGTCAAATTCTGCTCCTCTATACAGGCTCCAAAGCAGATCGCTCCCGGGCTCGGGAGGGAGGGTTGTTTACCACAAAACAAAAACTCTTCCAACACTCCACTCTCCTGCTTAAATTTGCTTTTCCAAATCTTGGAAGTTACTGTCTTTTTTAAAACTCACCCTTTACAGGGTGGGCACTCCAGCTTAGCTCTTATATCGTTGCTCTGGATCGTCTGCAAGGGGGGGGGATGGGGACTTCCTTTTGGCACACCCCCCGGTCGTCTCAAATTCAAAAGGTAAAAATTTTTAAAACTCAGTTCCAAATTACTCACGGGTTCTTTTTTCAATCCAAATTTCAAGGAAGGAAGTCAGCGCTCTCCGGTTATGGCTCGCGGCTTCGCTCAGCGGCGGTAGCGATCGACTCTCAGTGCCGCGCCGTCCCCCGTATCCCCTCCATAGCCTTTAAAAAGGCTCTTCGCGAATCAGGGGGGCGCTTAAGGCACCCGCCGAGTCTTCAGTCCGCAGGCATCTGCACCTGCGGTTTTTAAGGGTCCCCGTGTCGCCGGCACGGCAAAGACCCATCCACCGCTGAGCCGATTCCCTCCGGAGCTCGGAGGGAATCCGCCATTCCCGGATCGCGCCAACCCTCTGACCTTTGACCCCCTCCCTGCAGTGAGCACCATGCTGACCGTCCTGCCCCCTCCGGAGCTGAAGTGCCAACCCCTGAATGTGTCGGGGAAACACCTGACGGTACTAAAAGGTGCGTGGATGGAGGGAGCAGGGGGGCATTTGGGGGAAATGTGGGGAGCAGCTGGGGCAGGGGCATGATGGGGGCAGGGGGCCTCTCCATCTTCCAGGGACCTGCCAATGGCCAGGCTCTGCCCTTTCCTGTGGATGGTGCCCCCCCCCATATGTGTAAGCAGGGCTGGAGGACCGACATCCTCTCCCTCACCAACTGGAGGGTCTCTAAGTGAAGGCTGGGTGCAGAGAACCTCTGGAGAGCTGAGCACCTGCAGGCTCAGGCCCAAGGTCTGGCACCCCACCTGGAGTCCAGCCTTCTCTTCTCACACTGGACCAGCCAAGCGTCTAATATGGGAAAGAGTGAAAGGAGGGCCCCATTCTAGGTTCCTCCTCACAAGATCATAGAGACCCATGCTGAATCAGGTCCAGGGGGGCTCACTAGGCCAACACCCTGTCCTCACAGTGGCCAAATGCCCCTTGGAACCAGGAAATCCAGATAGACTGTCTCTGGACCTGGAGGTTCCATTGGATCATCAGCACACAGGTGTCCTGGAAAGTCCAGCTGATCACGGTCTCTCTCTCTCTCTCTCTCCCCACCCCCAACATTCCTGCTGTGATGATGGGGGGCGCCAGGCTGATGATCCAGGGACTCCCTTGGAGGAGTTGAACTCCTGACTAGAAGCCACCAGTAGCCCTCTCCTCCTCCATGAATGTGTCCAGTCCTTGCCATCCAGGTGGGCAGCCATTGCTGCCTCCTGTGGGAGGGAGTTCCATAGATTAATGATGCACGCCATCCTTTGCAACAGCACCTGTCTCTTTGGATCCCAGGACTTTTCACCTGCCTTTAATCTTTTGCACACCCACCCTCTTTCCCCCCACCTCCAGTTTTGAACGCAGCCTCGCAGGAGGAGCTCTCTGTGTGGGATGTGCGGATCCTGCCCAATTTCAACACCAGTTACCTTCCTATGATGCCAGATGGGTCCGTCTTGCTGGTTGATGATGTCTGGTAAGGGAACAGTTCGTGGGAGGGCAGTCAGCTGGAGCTGGTGACCCCCCAATCTGCCATTGTGGCCTGGAAAGGCCTCCATTCAAGGGCTTTTGACCTTTGGTCCCCACCCTGCTCTCAGGTCTCACCTGTGGCTCCTAGAAGCTGTCAGCAGGTGACAGCAGCCACACTGGGAGTGTCTTCGACTGGCCCGCTCAGACAGGTGAGTTTGGCTAATGGGTCTCAAACCCCCAGAGAGTTAGGGGCTTCCCCTGTGTGCGGTCAGGCTCTGGTGGATTGAGCAGATGGGATCAAGAAGGGGTTCAACGGTCAAGAAGACAGTTTCTGCTCCTGCTGTGGATGAAGAAGGTGAGGGGCAGGTGGGGCTCGTCCGTCTGGGAAGGGATCCCCTCTAAGGGAAGGAAAACTCTGATCCTAAACTTCTGCTGCCTTGCAGGATATTTGAGGGGGAAGAAATGGCTAAGGAGTAAACCCTATGCAAATCCAGAGTCCCTAAGATGCTTGGATGGCGCCTTGCACTGGCGGAGGAAAAGGGGTGCTGTCACCACGCCCCCGCAGGCAGCACACCACGTTCCTGGGCGTGCGTGCCATGCCCCTGCGGGCAGCGTTCCACACCCCCAGGACCACTGGCGCTTTGTAGGCCTCCTTCTGGCAACTCCTGCAGCCCAGCTGGTGGCAAACATCTTGCTCTGCTTTCCTTTGGAGCCCATCAGCCAGGCCAAGAAGGGGGTCTTGTCGTCTGGGAAGCCCAGGACCTCCAGGCACACAGCCTTGGGGAGGTCACTTCAGTGCTGCTGACGCAGCTTACTCAGGATTGCAGGGGGTTGGGCTGGATGACCCTTGGGGACCCCTCCAAATTCTTCAGTCCTACAATTCTACAGGGACAGGGCAGTTGGAGGGATGGAGGCAGGAGTCTTGGGAGGTGGGGGCCTCTTTCCTCCCCCGTTTACCCCTCTTTCTCCCCCTTTCTCTCCAGCCACCAGTCGGGTGAGGTGTCCATGGCCTCCTTCTCCCGGGTGCCCTCGGCCACAGCCTCCTGCCCCTGCTCCCTGCGGGCCCTGGAGGAGCAGAACTTCCTCTTCCAGCTGCAGGCCCCCGAGCAGCCCCCGCCAGACAGCGCCAAGGAGGTGAGGGTCTGCCCACCCCACTGGCACCCGGTGGAGGGGAGATCAGGGGGGTCCGCCTTGCTGCCAGGATTGCTGCCACCTCCTCAAGGCAGACATTGGGGTGGGGCTAGAGCAGGGCTTCTCCAAGAAGCATCTCACATTTCAGGGCAGGATAGGATAGTCTTGTGTGAAGAAAATGAGGGGTTCTTTGGTCCAGTGGTACCTTCTTATTAAGTTTCGAATGCATTACACAAGCAATATGTTTACTGATGCCTTATCTATTCAGCTCTCCTCTCCACAAGTTCTGGTGTTGGGGGTGGAATAAAAGTATCTTTACAAATGAAAGGAAAAGAAAGGAAGCAAAGTTCACCGAAAGCAGGTCTCCCTGCAGTGCGTTTCGTTCCCCTTCTGGGATGAGTGAGGCGTTCTGATACAGCCCCATTCCAAATATTATTTAGCCAGACTTCAAGGGGGAATTCCATAAATTGTTGCCAGTATCAGGCTAGTGTTAATTGCACTGCTGATTTAAAAAAATAATCAATTTCTGCATTGACAGTTATTGTTTAAATTTGAGTCTAATGATAACAAGGCAAGAGCTGAATTGGAAAACATTTATTTATTTATTTGCAGAATATAGATAGGTATATTTCAAAACAAGAGCGAGAGTAAGGCTTTTGTGTTGACGAGATGAAAGTTTGTCCACCTTAAATTAGACCTCATATAAATGAGAAACATGGACAGCTTCTCTGTTGCCAAAACATGAGAAATGCAACACGGGAGCATGCCTCTGGGCTCTTGGGGACCAGAAACAGTATCCCAGCCTCTCTTCGAGAGCACTGGCTGTTCTTCAACTCTGACAAATATGAAAGATCAGAGAAGAGAAAGGCTTCTTTGTGTCAAGGAGGAGAGGAGGGCTTCTTCGTCTCAAATTAGGCCTAATATACGTAAATGGGATTGCCCAGCAAAGGCAGGCTCACGCCTCTCACTGACTTTGTATACCTCCTGGAGGTACAGATGGAAGAGACTCATTTATAAATGTATTTTGGGAAGGATGCATGTATTTTCTCTAGCTCCATCGCTTTATGCTTTCTGGGTGTCCCGTGATCATACTACAAAGTAGTTGCCTGGAGCTGCTTCTTTTTGTATTTCTTATCCATAAAAAATTCAGTGCAGTGCAAGAACATTTTTGTTCTGAACATCTGACTCAGAGAAAAAAGTCTGAGAGCCATTGGACTAGATGTCCCTTGGGGATCCCTTCCTTCTGGGATTCTATGAGGGAGGAGCCATGGGGGGAGAGGCGGGATGTGCTGCATGGGGGGGGGGCAGCATGTCTGCCAATCATTTCCTGCCTGCCAATAATTTTAAGGGGTGAAACTTAATTTTTGCAGCGAGGGGTCTTAAAAATATATTTGGGTGCGAGGAATCCATATCTGCTATTATTTTTGTGATTGGGCAACAGTTAGCTTGGTAAGTCTATATTTGATTAAGAAGCACATAAACTGTTCTCAGAAAACCAAATAATTTTAATTTTGCCTTCTGAAAGGTAGGCAACAGGTAATATAAAATATGCAATGCATACTATATAAATAAAAGTAATAATTTTAGTATATAATATAACTGCAAGTACTTGACGCTTGTTTTTAATTATCTCTAGGGCATTTTACATGTTTTACTAACCAAGCAGAACTAAATTGCTTTAATTTAACCAAAATATCTCTTGAATTCCTAAGTCCTGTCACAACTTTTTAGCGCCCCTCATTTTTGGAAGTTGCAAGTTGAAAAATGCAGCGTGCCCTCCTGATTTGGTTGAGATTCCTGCCTTGCAGAGGGTTGGACTGGATGACCCTCAGGGTCCCTTCCAACTTGACCATGCTATGGCTCTCTGGTTTAATGGCAGGGCCTGGAAGTCCCTCTCATCGCTGTGGTCCAGTGGTCAACCCCAAAGCTGCCTTTCACCGCCAGCATCTACACCCACTACAGGTAAGGGACCTTGAAAAGAGGATCAGACATGATATCAAAGCAGAAAAGAAAGTCAAATATTTGGGAGTGTGGTTTGACCCAGAAACTTGAACCTATTTCAAGTTAAGTATGTAGAGTCTTGGGCTGAAATTTTAAAAAGACCTCGAAAAGTTTTCCTCACCCCTCCCTGATTTATTAAATAATAATAAATAAATAAAAGGACCTTGAGAAATGGAACCGAATGAAGCTTTCGTTTCTAGGGAGAATATCTGCGATCAAAATGAACTTTCTCTCCAAGATGCTTTTTCTGTTTCAGGCCTTCTAGTATTTAGTGGCAGCAATGGAAAAAGGACGTAGCTAATTTAATCTGGCAGGGGGGAAAGCCCTGGACTAAATATGAAATTTTAATTGACATAAAGAGTAGGGGGTAGGGATTTGGGCTCCCATACTTGAAAATGTATTATGAAGAGGCTTGTTTATGTTGGATGAAAGAGTGGGTAGAGTTGAAAAACACGAATGTTCTGGACCTGGAAGGATTCGACCTGATGTATGGATGGCACACTTGCCTGTGCTGTGACAAAGCCAAAGTTCACAAGAGAGTTCATAATCACGTGATAAAGAATAATCTATATAAAGTGTGGGTGAGATATAAAGACCTCCTAGAAAGGAAGACCCCCTGGTGGATCTCCCCTATGGAGACAGTTGCAGTTAAAAAACTAAAGCTGAGTAAGAATTGGGGTACGGTACATACAGGGACCTCCTTGAAATCAAAGAGGACTTTAAAAAACAAAAGAGGAGCAAAGCTGGATTCCAGACTGGTTCCAGTACTTTCAAATGCACTAGGACTTAAGGAAAGATAAAGACAAAAGTTTTTTTGGAAGGGAAAGAATTCAGGAAAGCGGTATTGGGAAATAATAAAAAACTAATATCTAGACTCTATCAAATTTTACTGGAATGGGAGATCAAAGACGAGATGGTCAAGGAAGTAATGATACACTGGGCTATTGATATTGGACACAACATTGAAATTTCAGCCTGGGAGAAGCTGTGGAACAAAACTTTTAATATTTCGGCTTGCTACCTGATAAAAGAAAATATACAAAGAATGCTGTACAGGTGGTACCAGACCCCCAATAATCTTGCTAAGATTTACAGATGAGGGTCCAACCTCTGCTGGAAATACTCAGAGGTTGAGGGATCCTTTATCCATATGTGAGGGCAGTGTAAACTTGCCCCAAAGCTCTGGGGGATGGTCTATGATCAGCTTAGAAAAATTTTCCGGATCCCGTTTCCAAAAAACCTGGAAGCTTTTCTACTAGTGATGATTGGAGATAAGGTCCCTACAAAGGTTCATAACCTATTCCTCTATGTGACGGCTGCAGCCAGACTAGAATATGCCAGAAGTTGGAAAAGAAAAGAAATTCCAGCTAAAGAACAATGGCTGCAGAAACTAATAGAATTTGCGGAACTCGCAAATCTCACAGCCAAAATAAAGATGGGATGGGAGAGCTTTGGGAAATATTTTAAAAAATATGATGCTAAAATCACTGTACAAGTAGGGGTGTATAAACAACAAATACAACAAAGGACTACAAGGAGAAAACTAGGGTGGAGTTATAAATCGATATGCAGCAAAAACTAGGTTTATTAAGAATGCCATGGAAGGGAAGGTTGGGAAGTCTGCACAAAACCTCCATATGATGGTTAAAAAAAGAGGATCAGGCATAGTCCTGCAAGAAGAGAGGGAAATAGAGGGCTACTGGACTTGGTCACGTCACAGAGTGACAGCAGCAAAGGGGGGCCAGGCCCACCCGCAATTGGCTGGACCTCCACCCACTTCGTCCACAAGGTGTTTCTCTCAGTCATGCAGAAATCTTGAGCTGCCGGGGGTGGGTGGGCTAGATGGCCCTTGGGGTTCCTCTCAACTCCATGAGGACAATAGACGCTGCCTCCCCGCTGCTGGCTGCCCAGGGACGAAGGGGTCCTGCCCCCCCAGGTGGGGTGGGGTGGGGCAGGACCCTGCCCCCGACTGCCCCTCCCTGCCCCAGCTTCCCTTCCTCCCTTAAGCTGCTAAATGCTTTGAATGTTTGGTGCTTTCTTATGTTTTTATATGTGCTGGAAGCCCAGCCAGATGGGGCGGTATTCTTCTTCTTCTTCTTCTTAGGCTCCCCAGCATCCGCCTGGCCCGCCCCCGATTCGTCATGACAGCTGAGTGCGAGTCTCCGGTTGCCCTTCACCGCCGCTTCACTGTCACCTACACCCTCATCAACAACCTGCAGGACTTCCTGGCCGTGCGCCTGGTGTGGACTCCGGAGAGTGCGGCTGCTGGTGAGAGCATGGTGGGCTGGGCTGGATGACCTTTGGTGGCCCCCACCCAGCCCAACCATTCCATAATTCTGTGGCGGTCTCTCCTTCCTTGGAGGATCGCCATCTGCCAGGCATTCTTTTGTGACCCTTGGGGTCTATGATTCCATGATTCTTCCCTCCTGTTTTGGGGAGCAGGGAAGGAGGGCAATGGAGGAGGCAGGCTGACGGGGTGAGTGAGAGAGGCAGGGCTTCTCTGCGATCCCTAGAGGACCCCGAGTTTCCATGATTCTATGTCCTGCCTGGAAATACTGTGTTGGAAGGTCTTTAGGGAGATGGGGAGCCATTTCTCAGGGATTCTTTAGCTTTGGACTAGATGACCATTGGGGATCCCTTCCAACTCTATGATTCTCCAGCCAGGAAGAGTTGTGGGGGGAGCCTTGCCGCTCTTGGTCCTGGGAGGGGGGGCGCTGGAGAATGAGGAAGTGGATGACAAAGAGCTCCTGGGCCATGCTCACAGGGAACAGAGCCTCCAAGCTCAGGGGCAGTCTCCCCGCAAAAGCGGGAGCTGGTGGTTCTCGCTTGTGGGCTTCTCTGGGGCACCTCAGGTGGGACAAGGCTGCTGCCCTTTCCTTTCCTGACACCCCCCAGGCAAGAAGCTGTCCTGCGAGGAACGGCGCGCCATCCAGGATGCCCAGGACGCCATCGTCTGCCACACGCCGCTCAACAACTTGGGGTTCTCCCGGAAGGGCAGCGCCAGGACTTTCTGCGTCACCTTCCAGGCGCTGCGCGCCGGGTTGTACGAGGTAAGAAGCTCCTGTGCGCCACCACATGCTTCCATCCGGGCTCTAGGGCTCCTTTCTGCCGGGGGGGGGATGGGCTGCATGACCCTTGGGGGATTCTTGCAACTCGACAAGGCTGTGGTTGAATGTGGGCAGATATGGGAAAGGTAAAAGAAAGACTTTCTCCGCACAACACAGTTAACCTGTGGAACTACCTCCCACAAGAGGGATGGCATTAAGAGAGGATCGGACCCTGCAGGAAGATGGATTTTCCTTCATCTGTCCCAGATCTTCCCAGGGGCTGGTAGCTGTCACAGCCCCCTCCATGAATCTGCCCAACCCTCTTATAAAGCCATCCAAGTGGATGGCCAGCGCTGCTTCCCATGGCAGTGAGTTCCAGAGTTCTACTCTTGCAAGGTGGCCCCAGTTGCTGGAAACCACAGGCGGGGAGAGAGTGGTTATTGCGCTTGGATTTTGCTTGCAGGAATCTCACAATGGGCATCAGGTTGGCCACTGAGAGAAGACGCTGCCTGGTCATCTCTCATGGCTGCTTGAGCTGAGATTCCTGCATTGCAGAGGGTTGGACTAGAGGACCCTCAGGGTCCCTTTCAGCCCTAGAACACTATGGTTCTAAGGTTCTGTGACTGGATGGGCCCCTTTGGCCCAGCAGGCCCTTCTGATGTCCTTCTGGAAGAGTGGAGATGGGATTGTGGGGCTCTGAAGAGGACCTTGGTGGTGTCTGGGCTCAGGGTGGTGCTGATGGACAGCCAAGCCCTTCCTTCTGGACCTGCTGAGTTGCAGGGGGCTGGACTGGATGACCCTCAGAGCTCCCTCCCAACTCTACAGTCCACTCCTATTGGGAAGCAGCAGCAGCTGCTGCCCTTCTGGGCTCCCGCTCTGTTTGACACTGCCCAGCTGCAGAAGGAATGGACCTCTTTCTCTCTTTCTCTCTTTCTCGTTCTTTGCTCCCCGGAAGCTCTCCCAGCACATGAAGCTGAAGCTGCAGTTCACCGCCAGCGTCTCGAACCCACCTCCCGAGGCCCGGCCCGTCTCCCGCAAGAGTAGCCCAGGCAGCCCGGCTGTGCGGGAGCTGGTGGAGCGTCACCAGGCCAGCCTGGGCCGCTCGCAGAGCTTCTCCCACCAGCAGCCGGCCAGGGGCCACCTCATGAGGTGGGTGCAGGGGGTTCGGCTAGATGGCCCTGTGGGGTCCCTTCCAATTCTACAATCCATGCTTCTCACTCTTTCAGGGAACAGGAAGGGAGGGTAATGGAGGAGGCTGACTGAAGGGGCAGGACTCTGGGGGTTGGGCTAGATGACCACTGGGATCCCTCCCAACACTCCAGTTCTGTGTCCTCCTCTTTGGGGACCCGGGAGGAAGGGTAATGGAGGAGGGTGGGCTGAAGGGGGCAAACAAGAGAGGCGGGGCTCCTGGGTTCTCCTGGGGGTCGGCCAAGGCCCCCCCCCCACTGAGGCCTCTCTTTCTCTCCCCGCCCCACAGGTCAGGCAGTGTCATGGAGCGCCGAGCAATCACTCCCCCCGTGGGCTCCCCCGTGGGGCGCCCCCTCTACCTGCCCCCCGACAAGGCTGCTCTTTCCCTGGACAAGATTGCCAAGCGGGAGTGCAAGGTGCTGGTGGTGGCCCCCTTCACGTGAGGTGGGGGGCAGAGACCCCACCCCCTATCCCTGCCCTCCTCCAAAAGGGAGACGCTGCCTCCTGCCTTGCAAGGGAACAAACCTCCTGCCTCCCCCGCCCCCAAACCTGCAAACACCCCAGTGCTGCCCCCCATGGAATAAAAGCCGTGCATGTCACCCCCCCAAGAAAAATCTCAGCACACCCAATAAATGTGGGGGGACCTTCCACTTCTCTCTGCTGTTCCCTTTCCCTTGCGGGGGCTCAGAGCTCCAGCCCCCCCCCCATGAGACACCCCTCTCGCTGTGCCATCTCCCACTCTCCTTCTGGGGTTTTTGGCTGCTCCCCCTCCCCACATTTGCTCCTTCAAAATGGGGGGCACACACCCCCAACCTCATTGACTTCGTCCTCCATGGTGTGTGCAAATGAGACCAAGCATCGGGGGGGGGCAGCTCCCCCAATTGCCCCATGCTGAGGATCAGGAATCAGCTGCTGCTGCTAAACCTTGGAGCTTGACGGTACATCCACTGGACAGCTGCATTGCAGAGGGTTGGACTAGATGACCCTCGGGGTCCCTCCCAACGCTACAGGTCTATGGTTATGGGACGAATCTGTGCTGCCCCCTGCTGGTGGGGGGGTACCTTTGCTGCTGCGGATCTTCTGGATCACACTGGATTGTGCCACTTCTGAGGACTGGGAAGGGGGCAGATTTCTCTTACCCCCCCCCCCCCCATTTCACACTGCCAGCTGCTACATCCACGGGAGAGGGGTGGGCAGGCCTCCACCCCAGCCCCTCCTGCCATCTCAGGCCAAAGGGCCCCATTCCATTGCACTTTATTTAATTTTTATGTTATTTATATATTTTGTATTATTATTTGCCTCCAAAGCATCTCCGACTCCACGTTGTGTGTTTTGCAAATAAACTGCGCTGGCTGGGGGAAAGTGTTGGTGTGTTTTTGGGGGTGTTCCAGGAGTGGGGGGAGACATTCCTCCAAGGAAGGACGTCTAGCGGACGCCCAAGGAAGCTGGACGCTGGATGACTCAGGACAGATTAGAAAAAGCGTTAAGCTGCGGAACTCCCTCCTGCAGGAGGCCAGGATGACGGCTTTAAAAGAGGAGGAAACCAATTTGGGCAGGAGGAGGGAGCCAGCGGGCGCTCCTGGCCAGGATGCTCTGCCTCCACGGTTGGAGAGAAGAGGCTTCTGAAGGGCAGTTGCTGGAGACCCGGGGACGGGAGAGGCCTCTGGGGCGCCGAGCGGGAAGCTGCGAGCAGCTGCTCCGCCCACTGAGCCGCGCTGCCCTTCCCCTCGGACTGAGCGAGAAAGCGGGCGCCTCGAGGGGGGGGGCCTAGAAAGACCTCCTGCCCCTCGCAGCTCAGCGCCGCCGGGAGGGCGAGGGGGGTCCGGGGGGGGGGGGTGGGCTTCCCCCAGCAAAGCCTCTTCCGCCCAAACGCATCGCCAAGACGCCACTTCCGACGGAAGCGACCGGCAGTCGTGTTCTGTCCTCCTAGCGGACGAGAGGAAAGTGCCACTCAGTCCTCCGAGGCGTCTCTATGGCCAAGGCCGGCCCGGGGGCGGGGCTCCGAAGCGCGCCTTGCCCGCCTCCCGCCTCTCCCCTCGAGTGGGAGGGGCGCCCAGGGAGGGAGCGGGGAAGACGGAGCGAGGAGGGCGCGCGAAGGGATGAAGAGCTCTAAGTGGCCGATGAAGCCACGGCGAGGATGAATGAAAGAAGCAGCCGAGGGAGCGAGGCGCTTCCCGTGCTCCAGGTGAAGAGGAAGGGAGCCGCCCCGTTGGCCTCTGGGTGGGGGCCTGGAGGGTCGGGAGGCAGCCCTTGGCCCGCCCTGGGCGCCAGGGGGGAAGAGCCCGGAGCCGGGGGAGGCGAGGGGCAGAGGGGCCGCCCGAGTCCGCCGTCCCGCAAAGTGCAGCGAAGCTGTTGAAGCCCAGAGACTTCCACTCTGGACCTCCAGGCCAGACTGAAGACTTGGGTGATGCCTGCCTAGAGCAGGTGGAAAAGCATTTCAAAAAGAGAGGAAGTTCTTCCAGATGAATCGCCTGTCACACAGTCCTCGTGTTGGAAGGGATCCCAAGGGTCATCTAGTCTAACCTGAATCCATTGGCTTGGTTCCGGAGCCCTTGAGATACTTGAAGATGGCTCTCATCTCTCCTCTCAGTCTCCTCTTCCCCGGGCTAAACATCCCCAGCTCCTTCAACCATTCCTCATCAGGCCTGGTTTCCAGACCCTGGATCATCTGGGCTGCCCTGCTCTGCACATGTTTCGGCTTGTCAACATCCTTCTTAAATTGTGATGCCCAGAACTGAACACAGGGCTCCAGGTGTGGCCTGGCCAAGGTGGGACTATGGCATCCCTTCATCTGGACGCTAGACTCTAATGATGCCCTTCCTCACCCTGTTCAAGTGCTGTATCAGTGATGCCTCCAGGGACCTGGTGAGTCTATCTTCTTCTGACCCAGTGCTGAAGGGGAGGGTGCAGGGGACCTGTTCAGCTAATCCATGGAGGGACCCCCTACGACCCCCAAATCAGGGAGCAGAGGTTCCTCCCTGTCTGCAGACCCTGTCTGCTGTTCCTTTGGATCCATGTACGGCTTGCCACTTTATGGAGGGGTCTTTGGGTTGGGAAGAAGAGGGCATGCAAACAAACCCCCATTTAGATGTCATAATAATAATTTATTATTTATACCCCGCCCATCTGGCTGGGTTTCCCCAGCCACTCTGGGCGGCTTGCAACTGAATATTAAAAACAGTACAACATCAAACATTAAAAACTTCCCTAAAGAGGGCTGCCTTCAGATGACATATTTATGTCATATTTATTAACAGAGCCAGGCAGAAATATTTGGACATAAAATATACACGTAATATAAAAACGACAATCTGACCTCTGCAGTAAATCAAGAAAGACTGTTGGAAGATTGGGGGGGGGGTGCTTCTGCATGCGGTGCACTGTGGAGACTATGGAACTCCTTCCCACAGGAGGCAGGGATGGTCACCAACCGAGATGGCTTTCAAAAGGGGATGAGGCCAATTCATGCAGGAGACAGAGTTCAGCCCTGACAATGGCGCCTGGATGTCTGCCCAGAAGGGAAAGTGGCCCTCCGGCTACAGAAGCTCCTGCCCTCCGCCCTAGTCCCACACCAGCCTCCCCCCACCTGATACCTGATGCCGACCAGGAGCTTGGACTACAACTCTCGCCTGCCCACTGCATTTTGGACCAGTTCCCCAGTCATCATAGGATCATAATATTATTGCATAGAATAAATAATTCTTGTTATTATTTTCAATTACCCACCTAAAGTTCACAGGGCAGATGACAACAGAGAAGCACAATATTAAAAAAAAAACCAGTTCAAAACAGCCTACAATCATGGGGAAATGGTGGAGAGAAGGGTGAATTGGGTGTGCTCGGCTAGCCAAGGGTTAAAAGAAATGGGTGCTGCCTTCCTAGAGAGGACAGGTATTAAAAAGGGGGGTGTCAGGTCCTCCAGAGAAAAAGCCCCTCCCTCCCCAGTCTTTTCCTGCAAGTGGAGGAGGGGCTCTTGTCTCGGCTCTGCATCTTCTGGGATCTGGTGAGTCTCCCTTCTCTTCTCCGGGGGAGACGGGAGGGGTCACAAGGCTGCCGGGGAGGGTGCGGGGGGGACACCCTCAAATCCAGTGCCGGACTAAACCTGGCGGAGGCCTCTCGGTAGTCGAAATCTCAAGGGCCCCCGCGCAGATTATGTCGAAGCTTCTGCCTCGGGTTGATTGTCATTTTCTTTCCAGATCAAATCAATGTTCTTTTGATCCATTGTTGGGGGGGGGGCCTAAAAGACCGCTGCCTGCGCTGCCTATTTGGTCAATCCGGCACTCCTGCCTGCCCATCCCTCTCTGCAAAGCCTCGGGGGGGGGGCAGCTCGCAGGAGGCTGCAACTGTATCCTTTGGGGGAGAGGAAAAGAGCAGGTCTAAAAACCCCGCTCAGACTGAGGATCAACAGAGGTTGAAGCCGGACGCAAATATACGCCAAAGATAAAAACAAAAGCCTGACCTACGGAATAAAGAAAGAGTGACCTGCCCTCTGTCCTTGCTTGAGCTGGGGAACTCCCTCCTGCAGGGGGAAGGCTGGGCCGCCTGCCTGGGGGGCTCAAAGGAGGGAGAGGCCAACGCAGGGGAGGTCCACCTGCATTTCCGGCTCCCCTTTTTCTTGCCATTCTGCACTAGCTGTTTTTTAGCCGCTTCCATGCCCACTCGCATATTCAGATATGGAGATGGGAGAGCAGGCACTCTGCACATGCTCAGAGGCACAATGGAGGTGAAGCGGGGGGGGGACCACCCATGCGCTTCCTTTACACCCTCCTTCCATCAGGTTTTCGGAGAAAACAAAGCACATTCCAAACAGACATAAGCAAAGGTCTGTCTCTTCCTACAGCCTCCATTTTCTCTGGAGCGTTTCCTCTCCCTTCAGGGGAGTCAGAGAGAAGAAAAGACTCAGTCACCACCCTGCCAAGATGGCGAATTTGCTATTCAATAGCCTCCCATGGGATCTAAGGTCACTCACTGGCTGGGAGAGAACAACAACCAGTTAATTATCAACTAGCTAAAGCTCAGAGACGCTCTTCTTGCTTCTCTGAAGTTTCAATGGAATCTTCCAGTTAAACCCTTTCACCAATATATTATTATTATTATTATTATTATTATTATTATTATTATTATTATTTCTTCAATTTATATACCACCCTTTATCAAAAGATCATGACAGAACATCAATGATAAAAACATAATAAGAACATGGTAAAAAGCATACTAACGAATAGCCTAATAATAAAATACTCGTCATCGTAAGAGTCCTCTCCCCCACACTTTTACAGGCCATAGATTATTTAATAGCCAAAGGTCTGGGTAAAGAGGAATGTTTTTGCCTGGCACCTGAAGTTATGTAATGAGGGTGCCAGGCAAGCCTCTCTGGGGAGAGCATTCCACAGTTGGGGAGCCACCACAGAAAAGGCTTGTTCTCTTCTTGGCAGTACACAGACATTCCCATTTCAGTGTGAATTAAGTCAGTTATGCTTAACATCACCATCCAAGGCAGGAGAGGCCTTGCTAGAAAGGAAGCCCACGTGGGGGTGTGGAAAGCAGGGGCGTAGTGGAGGGGGCCGGGGGGGGGGGCCATGGTCCCAGGCGCAGAATCTGGAGAGGGGGAAACCAGGCGTTCCCCAACCAAGGAATTGGCACTAGGATGCCCTCTTGGCCCCAAGTGGAGCCCCCGGAGGGAAGCCGTTAAGGCTCCCAGCCTGTCTCTGTGTGTGTTCAAATGTACGTGGGGTGTGTGGCAAACTGGCTGTTTGACCTGGGCGAAATAAAACCTAGTTTTGCTCCTGTCTTGAAGGAAGAGCAGGTATGGCAATGCTATGAATAGAGAGCGAAGCAAGCCCATGATCTGGCTGCTGCTTTTTGAACCAGTTTCCAAGTTGTCTTCAAGAGCAGCTCCACCCAGAGGGCATTGCAATGATCCCTTAGCATAGGAGTATCCCAAGCATATATGGCTGGGGTGTGTGTGTTAAGGTTTGTTGTTGTTGTTAGCCTGCCTTTCACTCTAAGTTCCCAGGGCAGGTAACAACATTAAAACACAACATTAAAAACAGCTTAACAATCACAGAAAGAAGGTGAGTCCTGCTCTGCTTGCTTTTAAATGCTGTGCTTTGGCTTCACCCACTTAGCCCTCAAGGAGTTGGCAGATCAGGATCTGGCCCTCAGAATAAAGAAAGGGGGACCCCATCCCAGGAGTCTTTCTTGAGAAGGTTGGAGGTTCCAAGTGCTAGAAAATGAGACACAAGCAGGAAGAAACATGCCCTGAAGTCAGAGTGGGAGGGAGAGCAACTCTTGAAAACCCCTTGGTTAGCACCCCCACAAATGACTTACTCATCACTCATAGTTCTGACTTCCTTCCTTGACTGAAAACACTGCAAGGTAGAAGCAACCAGGCTGTTTCAACTCACAGAAATCCCTGCTATTGCCTGCACATTTTTTATGGTCATTTTCCTTATAGGAGGGCGAGAGGATTATTTCTCCTTCCTTTCTTTATTAAAGAAAGCTCAGAGTCTGGGCTGTGGTGCAATCCAGTCCTGGTTCCTAGCAAAACTCATCCACGCTTGCTCAGGAAACCTTTCTCTTCTCCTAACTGTGTGACAATTTTATAATGGAACAATATATTTGCTTTTTAGAAGTTGCTGGCATCTCTAATTCAGACCGTCGGACTGAACATGACGAAAGGAAAAACAGATTCCTTGAGATCTCTGGAGGACTTCCTGGGAGCAGAGCTGGATAAGCAAAATTCAGCTGGTCCTGGAGCAGGAGGAGCCCATGCCATTCGCACTGGGAGAAGTGGGGGGTTCTGGGAAAACTCTGTGCAGCAGGTCCTGGGAGAAGAGGACACCCTCCGCTCAGATGTGCAGAGCCAGCAGTTCAGGTGGTTCTGCTACCAGGAGACTGAAGGACCACGAGAAGTTTGCAGCTGGTTCTACCACCTTGACCATCAATGGCTGAAGCCAGAAAGGCACACGAAAGCTGAGATGCTGGACCTGGTGATCTTGGAGCAGTTCCTGGCTGTCCTTCCAGCGGAGATGGAGAGCTGGGTGAGGGAATGCGGAGCGGAGACCAGTTCCCAGGCAGTGGCCCTGGCCGAAGGTTTCCTCCTGAGTCAGGCAGAGGAGAGGAAGCAGGTGGAGAAGCAGGTGAGAGAGGCTTTCCTCTGGATGCTCCCAAGGGGCTCCAAACACGAGGGAGAGTCTCCTAAAATCATCTACTAATGGCCCATCCTTTTTTGGAAAGTATCCAAGGAATAATATATGATACCCTCAGATTTCATCTCTGCCATTCACTTTCTGATCCTTCTCCCCATTCTCTGTTTGGAATCCCTGTTTTTCTTTCAGGGAAAGGATCTGTTTGCAGAAATGGGCCCTGATTTGGCAGAGATGACTCCGTTGGACACCAGAGAGAGGCTGCTGGGTAAGGAGGAAGGAGTTTCTTCTCCATTTGGTCACATGCTGTGGATTTAGAAACTAATCTGTAGATTCTTTTCATATTTTGGGGGAAGACACTTGGAGGTCAGATGTTTCTTTGCACAATGAAAATATGAGATGGGTACAAACATCAGCGGGGGATAATTTCTCTAAGGCCTATCTGTAGCTAGATAAGTACTGCTTCACCCCCGAGAGCATCATGCACTCACGGATTCTAACTTAACTTTGTCTGTTGCAGGTGGCAAAATGATGCCGGCAAGACCTCCTCCTCCATCCTTTCATGATGGTGGAGGGGAATCAGTGGCTGTGGAACCAGATCAGGTAGGGGGAAGGAGGCCGAGGAGTGGGGTAGCCAGGGTGTCTCTGGTTCCAAACAAGTGTCTCTCCTCTAGGCTTGTGTCAACAAAGTTGTATTACTGGGAAATGAGGGAGGAAGTGATCATGTCCTCCTGGATTTCATGATTCAGAGGCAACTGAAAATGGAGTATATTCAGACATGCAGTCTGGCCAATTTCAAAAAGCTTAAGGAGCTTCTGGGTGAGATCCCATGGTCACAAATACTCAAAGAGAAGGGTTTCCCAGGTTGCTGGGAGTTTCTTAAAGGTGAGATGTTGAAGGCACAAATACAGACAAGTCCAACAACAAAAAAATGGGAGGCATCTAGATAAATTGGTGTGGTTGCATAAGGAGCTTACAGGTGAGCTGAAAAGTAAGAAGGGCACAAAAGAGGAGTAGACAAGAGGAGGCAACAGTTGTGGGGAGAAGGTCTGGTGGGCCAAAGCTCAGAATGAAGCTCAGGTTTGCAAGAGAGGTTCAAAATAATTTTTAAAAGTTTTATTTGGCTATGTTTGAAGCAAGGGGGGGGGGAGAAAATAGTGGTTCCCTTGCATAGAGAATACAGAGAAATGCTTTTGGATGACAGACAAAAGGCAGAACTGCAGCAAAATCAGCTAATGCTATTCTAGGCTGTGTTAACAAAAGTCTAGCGTCCTGATCATGGGAAAAAATAGTCCCACTCTATTCTGCCTTGGTCAGACCACACCTGGAATACTGTGTGCAGTTTGGGGCACCAAAGTTTAAGAGAGATGTTGACAAGCTGGAAGGTGTACAGAGGAGGGCAACCAAGATGATCAGGGGCCTGGGAACCAAGCCTGATGAGGAATGGTTGAAGAAGCTGGGTATGTTTAGTCTCAAGAAGAGGAGACTGAGAGGAGATAACATAGTAAAAAAGGATTCTACAAAGGAGATTCCAACTAAACATCAGGAAGAAGTTTCTGACAGTAAGATGTTTGACAGTTGAACTGACCCCCTTGGAAGGTTGTGAACTCTCCTTCAATGCGGCTTTTTAAGCAGAGGTTGGGTGGTCCTTTGTCAGGGATACTTGAGCTGAGATTCCTCCATTGCAGGATTTGGATTATCCGACTCTCATGGTCTCTTCCAATTCTTCCAGTTCAAGAATGCTATTATTTTATCAGTCATTTCATCAGTGATCAGGATTCACCTAACCAGCCCCATCAGTTGCACAACAGGGCTTTCTGCCACTGTTTCTACCCCCTGAAAGTCTCCCCTAACTTCATCCCCAATAGCAGACAGAGAGAGGAGGGAAGGGACTCTTCTGTCTGGCAAATGGAAAGCTTCAGCAGACAATATTGGAGTTCCATCCATTTGCACAAAGATTGATAACTAGCATTAAAATACACAATAAAAGAATTCCATTAAGATGTTAAGATAAGCATCCATAATTAAAATGCAAACAATCCCATGAAAACAACAGGGCAATTAACAGACAGAAAACAACAGCACAGTGTGTAGTACTTCATTTTATACTGTCTAAGAGGAGGACCTTTTCCTTTTAGGGTTCATTGTGCTTTGAAGATGTCGCTATTCATTTCACAGACGAGGAATGGGCATTGCTAGACCCTGACCAGAGAGCTCTGCATCAGGAAGTCATGGAGGAGAATCGTGGGATCATGGCTTCTCTCGGTAAGGCTCCCTGTTGGATCATTATAATAATAATAATAATTTATTATTTATACACTGCCACTCTGGCTGGGTTTCCCCAGCCACTCTGGGCGGCTTCCAACAAAACACTAAAATACAATAACCTATTAAACATTAAAAGCTTCCCTAAACAGGGCTGCCTTCAGATGCCGTCTAAAAGTTTGGTAGTTATTTTTCTCTTTGACATCTGATGGGAGGGGCGCCACTACCGAGAAGGCCCTCTGCCTGGTTCCCTGTAACTTGGCTTCTTGCAGCAAGGGAACCACCAGAAGGCCCTCGGCGCTGGACCTCAGAGTCCAGGCAGAATGATGGGGTGGAGACGCTCCTTCAGGTATACTGGACCGAGGCCGTTTAGGGCTTTAAAGGTCAGCACCAACACTTTGAATTGTGCTCGGAAACATACTGGGAGCCAATGTAGGTCTTTCAAGACCAGTGTTATATGGTCTTGGCGGCCACTCCCAGTCACCAGTCTAGCTGCCACATTCTGGATTAGTTGTAGTTTCCGGGTCACCTTCAAAGGTAGCCCCACATAGAGCGCATTGCAGTAGTCCAAGCAGGAGATACCCAGAGCATGCACCACTCTGGCACGACAGTCCGCGGGCAGGGAGGGTCTCATCCTGCGTACCAGATGGAGCTGATAAACAGCTGCCCTGAATACAGAATTGACCTGCGCCTCCATGGACAGCTGTGAGTCCAGAATGACTCCCAGGCTGTGCACCTGGTCCTTCAGGGGCACAGTTACCCCATTCAGGACCAGGGAGTCCTCCACACCCACCCGCCTCCTGTCCCCCAGAAACAGTACTTCTGTCTTGTCAGGATTCAACCTCAATCTGTTAGCTGCCATCCACCCTGTTTTGGAATTCCATATGTAATGAACTCCCAAGATTTTGATTAACTGCACCACCTACAGCATCTAAAGTCCTAATACCCCCACAGGCCACCTTGAATGGAAGGATTATTAACTGTTTTGTCTGTGAAGATTCTTAAGAATGATCTGGCTAGCCTGAACTGCCCTGGCCCTTTTAAATGTTGACTTCAGAGTGCTTAGGGAAGTTGAGGGAGCTTCTGTCAGGCATTGTGTTTGTCCTTCGGCTGTGGTCAATTTTTGGTCGACCCATGAGACTACTGACCTTGGAGATGGAAGGGATTCCATGATTGGGCCAAACAAAATCCATTCCAGAGGAAAGCCAGGCTTTTCAAATCTCAGGTTCCCGTAAATACATCCATGAATGCACATCAACAAAGGATATGAACCCTGTAGTAGGATCTCCCATGTAATATCTTTTGTTCTTCCTCTGTCACAAGCATTAATCAACATTGTTCAATAATTTGGAGCTACATTTCTTCCCGAGGCTCTAATCTGTTTCTCTTTTCATTGCAGGTGGTGATGAATTGGAAATGAAGAACAAGGGAGACCACAACAAAATCCGCAGAGTGGAGAAACCACAGAAACATTTGGAGTGTGCTGAGAGCTTCAATCAGAACAGCAATCTCACTTCTTATCAAGGAATTCACACAAAGAAGAAACCTTATCAGTGCTTGGAATGTGGGAAGAGCTTCAATCAAAAGGGCAATCTCACTTTCCATCAAAGAATTCATACAGGGGAGAAACCATACAAGTGCTTGGAATGTGGAAAGAGCTTCAAACATAGCTCCCATCTCACTTCCCATCAGAGAATTCATGCAACGGATAAACCCTATCAATGCTTAGAATGTGGAAAGAGCTTCAATCAAAAAGGCAATCTCACTTCCCATCAAAGAATCCATACAGGGGAGAAACCCTATCAATGCTTGGAATGTGGAAACAGCTTCCGTCAGAGGACTGATCTCATTTCCCATCAAAGAATTCATACAGGGGAGAAACCCTATCAATGCTTGGAATGTGGGAAGAGCTTCAGGCACAGGGTTAATCTCACTTCCCATCAAAGAATTCATACAAGGGAGAAACCATATCAATGCTTGGAATGTGGGAAGAGCTTCAGTCAAAAGGGCAGTCTCAATCTCCATCAAAAAACTCATACAGGCGAGAAACTACATCAGTGCTTGGAATGTGGAAAGAGCTTCATTCGGAAGGAAACACTCACTTTCCATCAAAGAATTCATACAGGGGAGAAACCATATCAGTGTACGGAATGTGGAAAGAGATTCAGTCAGAGTGGTCTTCTGACTTCTCATCGAAGAGTTCATACAGGGGAGAAACCTTATAAATGCTTAGAATGTGGAAAGAGATTCAGTCAAAAGGTCAATCTCACTTCCCATCATAGAATTCATACAGGGGAGAAACCGTATCAGTGTACGGAATGTGGAAAGAGCTTTAGTCAGAGAGGTCTTCTGACTTCCCATCAAAGAATTCATACAGGGGAGAAGCCCTATCAATGCTTGGAATGTGGAAAGAGCTTCAGTCAAAAGGGCAATCTCACTTTCCATCAAAGAATCCATACGGGGGAGAAACCATACCAATGCTTGGAATGTGGAAAGAGCTTTAGTCAGAGTGGCCTTCTTGATTCCCATCAAAGAAGTCATACAGGGGAGAAACCCTATCAATGCTTGGAATGTGGAAAGAGCTTCAGTCAGAAAGGAAATCTCACTTTCCATCAAAGAATTCATACAGGGGAGAAACTCCACCAATGCTTGGAATGTGGGAAGAGCTTCATTCGGAAGGAAAATCTCACTTCCCATCAAAGAATTCATACAGGGGAGAAACCATATCAGTGCCTGGAATGTGGGAAAAGCTTCACACAGAAGGTCAATCTTACCTTCCATGAAATAATTCATACAGGGGAGAA